TCAGAAAAGCCTTAATAAGTCAATCCTGGGAAAATGTCAACCTGGCTAAAAGGATGTGAACCCTGTGAGGATTTGAAAAGCCTTTTCAAACAGTGATCCAGAAACTAGACCAGCAGCATGAGCCAAAATGGCTCTAGACGCCACAATGGCTACGGACCACACAATGAATTGCAGAAATCAACCCTGAAGAAGGCTCGTGTGAGACGAGCCGAAACGCTAGTTTCGGTCAATCACCTTATTGATAAACTTATTTGCTTGTGTAGAAATAAACCGCTTGTACGCATTTTTTAACTGAAACAGTTATGCAAATAAATAGCTTATTCCGTTCCTTTCGAACAGTTGCGAAATCCGTTCGATTAATAACCCGTTGTGCATAGGCGTGAAAGTTATTATGCTGATGACCTTCTTAAATTGGTCAGCGTAGCCTATGAAATGACACTAACGCCAACCGTCGTCATTGTAACCGTAATCATTTCTGAACACACCTGCCCGCCATTGATACATAATAACTAATTAGTTCTATGTTAATTTTCGCATAAATAACAAATAACTTTCTCAGCTTTCATGCTACTTTGCTTCTCACGAATGCACTAACTTTTTATTCCTTGTTATTACAGTAACAGCTTTGCCACGGAATGAGAATCATAACATAAAGAAAATTAATGAAGTTACCAAATCCAAGCTGATAATTATGAAAATGACAAAATCAGTTGTCACTCAGCTGTTGAGGAAATCTTTTACTTACAGTCACTTTATTACTTTAAACGTATCTGTCAGTTATGAACTAACATTGATTATCGCGTTTAATCGAATATCAGTAATTGAAATGCCATTTATCAGTGAAACTGGCGGGTTGCCAATTACCTGGAATACACCTACCCTAGAATATTATACCTTGCTTGCTGCATATATGCCTATCGACAGTGGCAATCTGGTCGATGCTTGAGCGCGTCGTTGTTCGGCTCAGGTCAGAGGTACTGTCTTGCATTTGATGCATTGCAGGTACTTACAACATGGAGCCGGAACTTGGGTAAATGTACCCAATTCAACAATTGTGAACACACTAATGAGAATGTGAAGCAGACAAAATCCCTCAAGGACAACACCGTGATGCGTAAACCGTTCATCAAGTGATTTTGAGGTACGCCTGTACCGACGATAAACTAGTTGCATTTAATTTTAAGCAGTTTACTACTGCAGCTTTAATCTTCCATATTTTGTACATATTTTCACGATCTTTACTTCTTTTCGTTTACTCAACTTTCCTGTTGCTTGAATAATCTTTTCCCTCCATCTTTAAGCTTCGTTGCCCTGTATCGTACATTATTTTAATCAGAGACATTGCTTTCACTGTTTTGCCTACTGAGCTGACAACATAACAACTTGTATCACGCTTGATCATTGGTATTTCAAATGTCACGGAGTTACCATTTGCACCATATTCTGATTTTCAGCCAGCAAGCAAGTGGATCAAGGAGAGCTGTAATCGTGCATTGCGCACGCATCAGGCAGCATGTTCGCTGTCTCACCAAATCTGACGTGACAACGTCAGAATACCATGGCGTCTATTTACGAAAACTGAAGCCTCATCAGGTCTGAGATTTAGATCCACCGCGCATACGGGACATTTTGGGGTGAATTAAAGCTATTTTATAAATAACGATAGTTATAATAAACGGCGTTGAATATCACGTCAAATAAATTGAAAACGCATTTGGATAAGCCAAAAGTCATTTGCGACAAAACAAAGTCAAATTGTTGCTCAAGGATAGAATCAGCTAGAAAAAAGAGTAGTGTCCAACCTGCAGCCGAGCTCAAACTCAGGTGAAGGTTCATTATGTACGAAGAAAGTGATATCCGCTCCCCGGACTACTGCCATCGATTGTCGCCAAGGTAACTGCATAAATCAGTCGTATTACCTTACGGACATAGAGGGTAGAGGCGGGCAGAGGAATAAGTGAACCCCGCAATTTCACAAACATATTTCCATACGTTGTATTAGGAACCAAATACGTCGATATTATGAGCATAGAGTTAAATTCCTCTCTAACTGTCCTAGTTCTACTCAGGAAAGTTTGTATAAAATTTTATCATGTATCAACATTTAAATGTAAAACGTTTTATAAAAGAAGTCGACAACACCACCGAGGAAAGAAAGAACAACTTTATAATCTGACAAGACGGTACAACGTCAATTCACGCAACACAATCGGTCAGTGAAAATTACTAGTGAACCCTAAGGCACATGATAAGTCGTCAAAATCCTGGACATTACAATGATCAAGTACTAACTACGAAACCAAAAGTGGGAATGGATCCACATCATGCTGAACAGAGTCTGGTATAAAATGACCGTTTCATTTTCCTAGGATCAATCAGATATCGGACGGAACGACTGACCTTCGGTAAATAGCAACCCGACACTCGCGAGTAACATAAACCTTGGGCTTATCAGCTTCGAAAGACACCTTTAAAAATATTTGCACAGCGGATGAGCTGCAGTCGGCTGGAAGAGAACTGCCAAGAGCTGCTGTCTTGATCAAACATCTGGCTAGGATGAACTTAAATTCGTCAGCGCTGCAGTTATAGAGTCGACCAAGAAGGTTCAAAAGGCTCTGGACGTGAATCAATAGGTTTCTCTTGGAGAATGCGGCTGGCCAATGAGCGCAGAAGCAGAACCGTAGAATACATGAATCTTAGTAGACTTTCAGCATTTCTGGACCAATGCACAACCACCTCAATTTGCACAATACCGAAACCGATTGCCGTTTTGTACCAATCATCCATTTCTTCTGCTTACCCATATAATCCGTAATCAATCCTAGGTGTTTTACCATGAGCGGTTTTTAACCACATTGTTACAGAACTGTGTAACTGACGAAGCAAGTTCCCAACAGACTCCGTATGCACGACGGAAATTGAAGTTTTCAGATTTCTTCGGATTAAGCATTAAGCCGTTGTCGCTCATCTAGTCTCAAACTTCGTGGAGACGAAGAAAACGTATAGAAATGGAGAAGACAAAACCAAGAGCAACAGATTGCGAAGAAAGGATACGAAAATAACTCAGCGATTATGCGACAGCATAAGAATGACGTAGCATATCAAATGAAAGCAGTATATAGAGAAACTTTTTTATGACAGGAAATAAACACCGATAATTCAATTTAACCAATGCATAACTACATACATCGCTACGATCACATTCTCATAGGAAAGACTTATGTCGACATTATGTAGTTTTCAGCATTGAAGCTATATCCGTTATCAGAGAAGTTGCAACCTGACTGTTCCGGTTTTACGGTAACAAAATTTAACGTTACGCTTCGTCCTAAGCGAAAATCGATCAGTATCTGGAAAGTTGAATATAAACAAATTCGACACGTGTCAAACCATAAAAGATTTTAAAATATAAAACAAAACAGGTTCTACTGCATAGAGTTAGGCAAGCAGTCGTCATTGTTTAATAAATCATGCATTAATGGCCTTTACATTAATGTCTTGCTCTATCACTGTGTCTGGCATCGATACCTGTTTGAATTTAATGAAAAACTCTATCCTGCCTGTAAACTCCAATCCTTTTTGACAAGCATATATTCATTTGCATACAAGCACACAGTCCTCAGTTTTGCGAATGGACAGGAATGAACAGTAGTTTCCAAACCAGTTCAAAATGTCTCGATAAATAACGATACAACCAAAAATGATATGAGAAGCTAAGACCGCGAATGGCTTCATGAACCGAAAATGATGTTTACCAAAGATGTTTTTCGCGTGTAACAATTCCAAATCATTTCATAGACCAACGGTAATTTTCGCTAAGCCACGAAATACGTTGATACGCACCAAACCGAAACGTCCAAAGATCAACAGAGACGGGCTGCCAGTTTTACAGCTGGACTAAACGCACTAGACCAAACCAATAACCAAAACCGAACCGAACTTAACCAAAATAAACAGCCAACATTCATACAAGACTGTGTCAAAGGTACAAGAGATAAAACAATCAACAGCACAAATATTGTCGTAAAAATGACATTAAAATGAAAAAAGCGAAACCACGTTACGACGCCATTCACCGGATATCACCTAAAGAATAGAGCATACGTCCGGTGAAGTTACAAATTGAGCACACACTGTTCACGGAAAGAAACGAGATAAAAAGCAAGAGCGCCAGAGTTTTACAGTGAATAGACAGCAGGAGATCCTGCGCAGTTATTAAGTTGAAATTTTGGCCGACTACAAATATAAATGTTTAGGAAAAGTCAAAAACGTGGCGATAAATTTCACTTCCCCATGACGTGTGACTGCATACGAAAACTGAAAGAGTCAGTGACCCTTGGCAATCATCAATCAGACCTTGATGCTACTGCTATGGATCTCGACGAACAGCTGAACTGGAGAGGTGGGTATGGATGCACAGCCATTTTCCATCGCGCTTCTGCCACACTCTTGTCTCTTCTACCTGCCGGGGCTGAGGTATGCCTTGCCTGAAACGAAACAAAACAAATGTGGGTTGTCAAACACATCCTAAACAAAAATAAGCAATAGGAGAATTCATGTGCTCATAAAAGTAATTAATACAAACGGAAGGTCAGCCATACAAAATTATTTAAAATTAGGATTACTAGCGAAAATCAGATATAAATGAAGTCAGTAATCCTTAGGCTATATATCACCTATCGATGTCCTTATCTACTATAGGTAATAAGGCACTGCGAAACAAATGAAATCCGGTTTGCGAAAATTCTGAAGTGATTAACATAGTTAAGTGCATGAACCGTTGCTTTGATTAAAAAAGGCACACGAGAGCAGCCTATTAAATATCCTGATGATCAGCTTACGTACGGTAGAAAATATTTAAAAAATTCGGGTTTTATTGGACCAGTCAGAAGAGAAGGTTAATAATCTTCAAAAAGCGAACCAATCAGTTTATTTGGACCAGTCAGATTTTTTTTTCGCAAAAAATGAAACCCAGCTGTAGGAAACCGAAAAGTATTGATAACTGATTTCGCCAGAGGTTCGAAGGTCAATACTTGATGCCGATCATTGGCTATGGCAACGACAGAAGTATGCGAAATGTGTTGCCAACTTCCTGAAAGTACTGAACTACTACCCCCCCCCC